TATTTCTTAATTTTCGACGCGCTTTGATGAGAAAACACGAGGTAGTTTTGCAATAGACGAATCTTAAACTTGTAACAATTGAATCTTTCAATTATTTCTTTCTGAAAAATATTTTCTTTTGAAAATTTCTGGTTACAACGATGCGTCTATGTAGGATGTTACACTTCGCCAGAGTGTGGCGTCATTCAACGCAGTGTACGTGTCCAAGTGGAAAACACAGGCGACACCAATTATCCATTTTTGCACGGAATTATCGCCGTCGACCGAGATAACAGTGACCATACTCGTGTGGTGTACAAATCGTTTACAGAGTGAAGATACTCGAAAAAATACCATCGGACTTGGAATTTTCGCGATGGCCTTGCTCGTTATCACTGGATGCTCGTTAAATCATCAACGAGATCGTAATAATAAAGGGACACTTTCGTTACATCGATGATCGTATGAAAATATTTACTTGTTCTTGATATTGGATGCATTTTTCAACGAGAAACAATGCATATCGCACGTAGAGACATCAGAATCAAGTAACTTTCCAAATTGAAAAGCTCAGCAATCTATTTAAATTCGAAATTTTACTGCTGCCCATAAAAGAATTTAAGTACTTCCATTATCATCTCAAACTTAAAACCTAAATCGCTCCTAACCCCATCAGATACCTAATTGAATTCTTAAGAAGCAAATACCGTCAGTTTCTCTGCAAACCCATCGTACCTTTATCTAAAAAAAATAAAAGAATCTACCGTCTCTGGTAGTCGACCGGGACGTTCACATCTATTTCCCTCCCTTTGGTCCCGGGATGACATTGCGTACACTGGGTGGCCATTTTAAAGGTACGCCTGGACGATCAGTCACACTTAACGTCAGTACTGAAGTGACTTAGTTTAGGGCTGTTTAAGGGCGGGTTGTTCGCGGATGAAAAGCTAGGGTCCTCGCCCATTCGTGAGCGACGGTGGTGCGGGGGTCGTTTCTACCCTCCCTGTCTTCTCTCGAGGCAGCGACTAACAATGCCAACGAGAAAGGGCGAGCAACCTTCTCTCTCGTCCTTTTCAGCGAAAGTACTACGAAACTATATCACACACGAGCACGCGGAATGGTTTCGGTTTGAAAAATGTACGAAAGCGTGTGGTTGTTCGTTGGTTTACCCTGTTAACAAGGGATCCTTCTCTTGCTTCTGACGTTTCATCTTTGAGTCAGGCTGTTTTTTTCGCTGTAAGAACCACGAGGGGACGGATTGTCGTTACGCTAATTGTTACTCGCCCGACAAAATACCCCCGTTTTGCTACCCCATCGAGACGAAACGTTTCTTTCTTCCTTCGTGAAAACGCGGAAGCCGACTTTACGCGCTCGTACAATTTGCACGAACAAACGAGCACCCTATTCAAATTATTTGAAATTTAATGGGAAATTTAATCTGATATTTCGTATCGAAAGGATCGATGGATCCTCGCTGGCGTCATCCACGATTCATAAATTCGAAACTCTGTTTAGACGCCCAAATCGCGACGATGAAACGCGACACGCAGCCTGGTAAATTCCTGAGTTACAACCAAACAGTTCAATATCGTCTTACGGTGGTCCGAACTTACTAAACGAACAACACAATTTATGTACCTCCTTCCTTTCTTCTCGAAGCCTTTTTATTTCTTAAACATCGAACCCTGGATCAATGGTAAAGAAAATTTAGAAAATGTATGAAACCATAGTCCATCGTCTAATACCAGTAGCACGATGATAAACACAGTTTCAAACGCGCTACCATGTTTCTTTTAAATAAACGCTCAGTTAACGCGATGTGATCAGCGCCGAGAAATCCGAGGTGACCGAGCCTCGAAGGGTGACGAGGGAGCCAAGTATAAGATTACCGGCTATATGCATTCTGGCTGTTGTTTATTAGGTTCGCTAACAACATTGTAAGTAAGTGGAGTAAGCCACGGACGGGGGTGAAACGGGGTCCCACGGCGGTGTCACGGGGGCCACGTGTTGTACCGTCTACGTATCCAAGCTGGATGTCTGCGAACGGAGCACAGACCCGTACCCCAAGATTATACGTGGTCAGCTAAATGTAAGAGAAACATGGCTCGTAGTGCAATTTAAACGCGCCGTGATTCCGAGTATCGACGGCTCCACGTGGAATTGCTTCACGCGCTTGAAAACAAGAGATCGACGCCCTTATGGTCGCGCCATTAGGTCATGGCTTTTCTTATTTCTACTACGGATGGAAATATTATTTTCTTATTTTTATCGTTTATAATATAATTACTACGTTTCCATAATTTCAATAAAATTACGCGACGAAGTTAGTGGCACGTGTATCTTTGTAACGATATTCATAGAGGGAACGAGGAACGTATCTCGTTCGAGCAGCCGGGATTAATATCGAGTGTACCCTATAGTTTTTGAGCAAATATGCAAGATCCGTGCACACGTCGAATAGTGACAGAGATAATATTTGTTGAGATTTACACGCGTGCCGTACCAACGATATTTTCATATAGGTAACACCTCCTGTGTCTTCTACGATCGAGCGTGCACTGAGCCTCATCGAATCTGTTGCGGCGTGTGACTCCACACATGCTCGCGCCGGGGGGCCGAATGACGAAGGGGGTATAAACACGCGCTCCTGTACCATGCGTTTACACGCTTTGCACATATCGAACAATCTTCGAGATGAAAATAAATTTACAACGTTTCGAATATTTATTAAACGCGATACTGATTAAATTTGTATTCGATAAATAAATTTAAAGGGCAAAATGTTTTATAAAATAATCCTGATAAGTTGTACAGACAATAAATCACGATTTGTTTGGATATTTTTATCAGGAATTGATTCGAAGACGTCTTCGAACAGTGTAGCAAACAACAAATTGAATTTGCCGACGACGAGGAAAGGTTTCGGGGATGAAATCTGGCCAATTCTGTTTGTTCTTTTAGCGAAATGGATTCGAGCGTTATATTTTCGGTATAAACAACATGATTTATGCTTGGACACGCAGTATGCTAATAATTTAGGCTATAGTAGCGTTACGTCATTGTAGGATCGTTTTGGAACAAGAGTTGGGTCAGAACGAGTCTGATATGCGAGTCTTTAAATATAATCTCGTTCTACTGTAAATCCTAACAAAATTTGTATTACGTAACTCTTGTTAGGTTTAATTAACACGTTATTATATAAACAATTCACAAAACATTCCTTGTCAACAAAATTCAAAGGATAAATAATACGTCAATACTTTTGTTAAACAAAGAAACATTTCTGAAACCTCGAATTCTCCACGTTTTCATATGTAAAATCAATCCCCCGACAAAATCTTTCTCCATTTCTATTATTTCCTTGAAACTTCCGAAAAGAAAAAGTTTCACAGAAGTATCACGTGAAAAGATCTAAGAAAACAGGAATCTCAGAATCGTGACACTTGAATGCAATCCGTATCCATAGAATTAATGATCCCGGGAGTTCCTTTGTACCAAGAAACCAGCGGAATCGATTCCTCGCCATCTGGATCGTGTCCAGGAGCGCGATACTGGGTCATAGCGTGAATTTAGCATCGTGGAACGATCACGGTGTCCTCGCCATGGGACAAACGTACACGCCTTGGTTTCGGTCGTTCGTGACCGTCTCAATGCATTCCCGATGGCGCGCGAGCCTGCAACTCTGCCACGGCTTAACGTCCGTTCACCTACATTTTCGTCGTCGCAACGCATAACCAACCCCCTCGTGGCTTTTTCAGTTACACCCCCGCTGCAGCTAAGAACGCCGCCTGCGTGCCCGACGAAAAGACAAGGGGGCTGGTACGCGCGCGATTCATCATCCCCCTTCGGGCAACGGAGAAAATCCATTCACCGGTCCCGCAGACACGACAGGCCGAGTGTGATCGCGCATTTTAACAGTTCCGAAACAGGGCTGACTTTCCTCCTCGTTGCTCTAGGTCGAGCAACGATAAGATTTACTATGGCGTTCATGAATATCAGGGTACCACAATGGTACCGGGTTCGTGGTTACCATTTTTCAGAAATGGTTGAAGCGAATTTATCGCAGACTGAGACTTAATTTTAGAAATTTTTGATAAATATTTTCTATAACTCAACGATCCTAAACGACACATTTCTAACTTGCCCATCGTTTTTCCCAACATCTGGATAATTCTGACCAAGTTAAGGTGGCCATCAAATAAACTTCTCTGTCTGTGGGTTCCGAACCGTTATATCGCGTCTTAGCCCTCGGCAAAGGTGCGAGGGTGAGGAGGTACGGGGAAGGAGAAACACATGTTTCGTATTAGATCTTTTCTACCTGTCGACCCGAGCCAGGGCGCATAGAAAGTGTTTAACGAAGAATACCACGTCGAAGGTAACGCTGCGAGAAGAAGAAACACGTGTTGCCAAAGGTCGTGGACATTGTCCTGTAGGGAACCGTGGCAGGTTCCTGCCGGAACATATTGGCAACACATGTTTCCAATTTCAGGATGCACTTTGCTCCTGGCAAAAAGGTGCATAGTAAGGTGGTTATACAGCCTGGTCATAAAAGCCAGGTTCCAACCTGTCATTCATCGAGTTTTCGGGCTTTACACCCGGCTGAAATTTGCACACGTGAGACGAGAATTTTAGATCAGTGTTTTAGGGGACACTGATTCAACCCCCTGTACAATCTCAGAAGATCAGACGCTTCGTTTAGCATTGTTAGATGGACTCTGTATTTACAATTTAAAGAGCTAATTAGACTTTGAAATAAATCTTGTTACGTAATGAAAACAATCTCTTCAATAATTACCATTCCATCCCGTTTCCTTTCCGAATACAAGATTTCGAGGATTGGAGTTCCTGAAATTCTCAGGATTCAAGAGTATTGCCGTAGCCGGGCTCGGTGGTAAACTATGGTAGGGGAAGTTATAGGTATCCTATGGTGCCTCGTCAAGGGAACAGTACGGCCACCAGCAATCGCCTTTGCTTTCGATTTCGCCACCCGTCGTTTCGCTTCTATACGACCGTCATTCGAATCACTTGGGGCTTTCCCGGCAACCTTTGCGACTCCGACCACCAGCTACGTCCATCTCGTTCATCCTTAAACCGTCCCTCTCTTTTCCGTCCGTAGATGGTTCTACGGTTCCTCTTTCAATCGTGTTCGTCCCTCTCTCTTCGGAACGCAGACAGAGAAGTTTTCACGTGCGTGTACCAGAGGGGTCTTTCGACTGACCCTGCTCCAAGGGTGGAGCTTAAAATAAGGGTGGTACCTCACGGCTTACCTACCCCATCGAGAAACAGCATTGGGGATGAGATGGAAGCGAAGGAGGAGAGATATGCGAACGATGAGAAAGAGAGGAGCAAAAGCGACACGAGGTCCTATCCGAGAGCCGAACAACTCGGTGTTAGTCGTAATTTAAGTGCAAACGACATCGGTCGTTTCGTGTCCTCAAGGTCGTGACAGGAATCGAAATCTCTGGATCAGAGAATTTTTTTTCAATTTCTCCGGAAGTTAGGATCGTCTGGACCGAATCCGTTTACCGTATCTGTATGGAATTGAGGGAAAGTGTTGGAAGAAATTTTCGGAGGAATTTTCTTATTAATCAGAACACGTGGTCCGTGGAATGTGGTGAGGAGAAGTTAGTGTCTTCGATGTGTCCAAGTGTCACCAATGAATTTCTATGATAGTGAACGTACGTCGGGGTTATTTAGTAGAGTGCGTCCCTCGAGGAGGTGGTAGAAGATGGCGCCTACTGTTGAGAGTCATGGTCGACGTATCATCTTAGAAAGTGATCCATACGTTGGTAGTTGGAGACGGAAACAAGCTCAGAAAGGTATTATTGTTACTTGGCAATTTATCCAAATGGACATTATCATTATTTATTATTTTTCCTTCGACTATTCAAATTTTTGTCAATTCATGTTCATGGGATATCCATGGCTCAGCAACGTGCGTCTGTACAGATTTTATTTCATTGACGACAACAACAGGATATTTATTTCATTCGCTCGTCAAATGCGTTGATTGGAGTTTTAATTGTTTTTGAATTTCATTTATTAATGGAACACAATTTGGCCGATCTTGAATTCGTATCGGGTCGATTACGTGATCAGCTTCGATTGTTCTTTATTAGAATACAAAAATTCATATGTAGTTATTTTTACTAAATTTTAAGCTTCAAGTTGAGTGCTATTTCACGGCACTTTTCATAATTCACTTATTAATATTTATTAGCAAACAATTGGAATTATTGTTTCGAGAAGACCAATTGTACCTTCAATTTACTTAAACTCTTTACACCAGCATTTTCTTGCACCAGTTCGTTCCGCGATTGCGAAACCGAAGAAACTTTCACGGTTTCCTTTGAATCTCGTGGCAAACAAACGATTGCTGAACGTATATTCTGAGAACATAGAAAATACATACTACCGAGATATTTTCACGGTGTTGCGAGTGTTAACTTCTCTATGGCGTTTCTAGGTACCGCAGCAATACACCCGCTCTCTTTATCTTCGAGCGGTACCAATTAAAATGAAAAAATCCAACAAAACACCAAGTTAAAATTATCCAGAAAATTATTCTTCTTTTCTTAGTCTCCTTTTCCTTTATCGCGATTTTTTCTAAGAAAGCCTACTATGTTAGGTACTGTACAGTTGAAGATATTGTTACGGTGCCGCACGATTGGCGAGCGAAACGACGAAGCAGGAAGTAAAAAAAATACATTATTCAAGCGAATTTCCATTCGTGAGAAGTCTCGGTAGATGGGTAGCTACGTCGTTAGGTTGCTCTCTTGCCGGCGTTTTAATGACGGTTTGCTCCCTTTGCTTTCGGTTCTTATAACGAGCAGCTTCGCCGTCGTTATGGCTTTCCCGGTGTTTCATTCTTCGACGAGCTGGACGAAACTTCCGACCCATCGATCGCGATATTAGCGATATTATTTGTTGAATTTATTCTATCTGTTTCTGACAACATTTCTTCTGATCTTTGTTTCCAGGTAACAATTCTTCTCCGGATACTTTGGACCTGAGCTCCCACAATCATCATCTGAACTCGATCAACAATTCAATCGCTAGCACGTCCGGCCCACAGGAAGTAATGAAGGAAAGAAGCAAAGACGCGGCGCGTAAGCGTCGCATCAGCGAGAATCAAGAATTTTTGAAGCTTGCGAAGTTATTACCTTTGCCCACCGCCCTCACCGCCCAATTGGATAAGGCCAGTGTCATTCGAGTGACGACCAGTTACTTGAAGATGCGAGCATTGTTTCCACATGGTATTGTATGAATTACTCTCGATTTCATCCCTTCAGAAATCATAGAAATCGTAGAAAATTCGATATCAACCAAGAGCTCTCGAGTAGCGTTTAATAATTAGCAACCCTTGAAATGCGGGGAGGCAAAGAAATCGATTAGTATTTGTCTGAGCGAATGGTTGACGATACACCACGTGCCCGGTAATAAATTTCACTTAGCGGTAAACGGATGAAACGGTATATTCTTTGTTAATTCAGCCACCGGACACTTACGTGCAAAGGGCAAATAGTATCGGATGAGATGGATGTGATTGCGCACTTAATGCATTGTTAGCCCCCGGTGCTTTGTAAGCAAAGCATGGGGGCTGTTATAGTGTTACAATGGCTTCCTACCTCCCTCGTTTCTACACCCTTCCGTCGTTCTTACGACATCGGTGAATTGAATTTCAAGTGGCTACATCCCTCTAGAATCCGCTCGCGTCTTTATTCTTCGAAAAAAAAAAGAAAAGAAAAAAAGAATGAAAGGAAAGTGAAAAAGACACGTTGCTCGATGTAGCACGCTTTAAGGGTGTTTCTTTTCTCGCTAGCATGGAAAATTAGCCGGGGGAACAGGTAAACGAGGGTGAAATTCTGTTAAGGGGTTGATTAAACCCAACAAAGATTTAAAAAAGAATATCATTCAATGGATAAGATTTTAATTGCAATTATTTTTTATATACTTCTTTGTTTTTTGAATTATTCAAATTTCACGATTTTTTAATCGTATCTACTAAAAAATATTTGGTAGATTATTAATTAATTATTTCATCAAATCTACGATTAACTGGGTCGTTTATGAACGTTATATCTGATCATATTTAACGAAACAGTGTATCGTCGACGAGATGGCAATAATCAAGCCATTTTCCACGAAATTCCACACGGATGCAGAAAACTCCCCTGCAGCTGCACCCGTGGCACACGCGTGCAAATGTATTGTAATTAATGCGCAGACACGAAATACTTGGCTATAGGCTTAGTTACACGTCGAGTAGGAAACGTCGCTAGAAACATGTATATCGGATCATCGGGATAAGGAGGTGACATATCGTAATATGTGCCACGTCTTTAAACGAGATGTCTTTCTTTCAACGCTCAAAATTTAGCAAAATCAAACGAAGAAAATTTTCAAATAAACAGAGTAGATCCGTGAATAAATTTTCCACTGATGTTTTAGAGTGGTCTTTCAGAAAATTGGTTCGTTGCATCTAGCAAAAATATCTGAAGGTGGTGAAATGATTTTTCAGGGCTTGGAGACGAATGGGGTGCTTCGCAGCCAGCCAACATCTCCCTGCAAATCGCCCTCAAGGAGGTGACTAGTTATATTTTACAAGTAAGCACTCATCGTTCTCTGTGTCGCGCCTTACAAATTGATCTTACATCCTGCACGCGTTGTCGGATAAACAACGTTAAACTTAAGTCTCAGTGGTTCCATTATGATTCTCCGTTCAGATGAAAATTTTGTTTAATTGAAAGACAAAAAGGCGCGATCAGAAATGGAAAACTATTTCTTCTATTGGAAGAAGACTTAACTGTAGAATGGCAGACTTGGGTCAATTTTAACCTCGACTTTTTAAAATGTACGAAAATTCTAATTGAAAATAAAAATCCTCCTTTCAGGCTCTCGAAGGTTTCGTGTTCGTTTTGGCACCCGACGGCAAAATCATATACATAAGCGAAACAGCTAGCGTGCACTTAGGAATGGCACAGGTCAGAAACTGATTAGATAATGAATTAATTTTCCTTGAAAATCATCAATTCTATCGAAAGTGTTGATGAATATAGGTGGACCTAACAGGGAACAGCATCTTCGAGTATATCTACGACCACGACCACGACGAGATGTTGTCGGTTTTAAATTTACCACAAAGTCCAGCGGACCTTGCTGGTTTCACTTTTCCACCTCCAAATTCGCGAGGTGAAATCGAGCTGGAACGTATGTTCATTTTGAGAATGAAATGCAACTTGGCGAAAAGGAACGCGGGTCTGGTCACGGAAGGATACAAGGTAATGATATTAAATTTATATAAAACATAAATATTCTTCGAAGAGAAAACAATTATCTAGATAACACGAACGTAATGGTTCGTTAAAACTAGAAAAGATACGGCGATTAAGAGTTTATTGGCTCTGGTAAATCGCGCAATATTCGCGGCAAACAAACGTTGATCGAGGGCACGGTATAACCGAGCCTCGGAGGATCGTCGATTAGCATAAAGCCTAGGTTGCTTGCACAGGAAATCATAAAACGTATAAAAATTCAAATGCTAAATAAGAGATAAGAAGTGGCGAGCTAAGTAGGGACGGTATTGTCCTGGTCACGCGCTAGTCGAAAAGAAAACTACCACCAGGTAGTGATGAGCACTGTACTTGGCTGCATCCGTTTTGGTGCAACAAAAACAACGCGTTTCATATCTGGAATAATTGATTTATTGTTTAATTATAAATATAATTTTTTCAGCAATCACTTTTTCAATATAAAAAAATATATAAATAATAATTTCATACTAATCCCTCCGGCACAAGGTGCACCATTATTCACGGATTACCTAAACGACTATCGTCGATCCGATCAACGATTGCTTCTCCCGCTCGACGATCATTAATATCACCACCGTTTCACCTAAATTCGGAAAGTTACCCTAATATTTTAGCGGATCGATGGATGTTCGCCAAATGTTCGACATATGCTCGGGCAATAACGATGCCGAACGTCGATCTACTTAAGGTCGTAAAGGGTAACACGGGTACGGCAAAGGGACCTGCGACACTTTGCACTTGCCGAGGCAAAAGGAGACAGCCCTCGAGAAGGAAAATGTTTGGCAAATAGCTCGTTCAAGCCCGCGGTGCTATGATGACCGTGGCTCTCGACGAAATCGCACACAGAAGACCCCAATAGGCGTTGAGCAAAGTCATGAATGCAACCCCTGTTAGCTGTTAGCCGTGAGGAGAGGGGGAGGATCCGGGGATAGAAGGCAGCTTTTTGTATGGCACTTAAACGCACAAAGAACGAACCGTAGTTGGCTCGACTTTGTCGAAGGTGCGAGCACGCGTTTGTCGGATGAATAGTCAGGAAACGAATATTAGATATTTATATTTTTTTTTATAAATTACATTTAATTTAAATTACTGAATTCTAAATTATATCAAAATTACATAAAAATTAGGGTATGTCAATTAAGTGACGTACCCTCCAAAACGACCGATCGAACGAAGCTCATTTTCAAAATGAAATCGAGCGTATCCGTGCAGTTGAAATTAATTTTCTTTCGTCGAGTTTCACGGCACCCTCGTGTCCCCATACTCGGGCGCGAATGCAACGGAATTGCATACGGGATAAGAGACGCAACGCGGGCATACGAACAAGCCTATTTGCTTCACAAATCCGTGCTGCACTCGAGACGCGAGTAGCGCGACGCTGAACGAGGCTTTTTTTCTCCCGTTTCCATCGGCCATTTAATTAAAAAGGAATTGTTAATTTGCCGGGAACAGCGTCAGAATTCACCGGGGATGTTGCTTCGAGTGTCGCACTTACGCTCTATCAGCATTCCCTGAATACCATTAAGAATAATCACGTGCACATGTGTAACTAACGATAAGTCAAGTGTCCATCGCTCTTAATTACGACTTTCCGTTTGAAATCCCGACTTTAACTTTTAATCAACCTCGATCTCTTCAAGTTAATTAGAAAACTAATTAAACATCAGAAAAAAAAAAAAAAAAAAATTGGATCAATCTTATCTGTTACAGGTGATACACTGTTCCGGTTACTTAAGGTGTATCGTAGACGGTCCTGTGGGATCGGAATACGAAGATGGTACCGGACGTTGTATTCGAATAATCGGTTTATTAGCCGTGGGTCATTCTCTACCCGGACGTTCCCTAACAGAGATCAAATTGTACCAGAACATGTTCATGTTTCGTGCATCGATGGATATGAAGCTGATATTCGTCGACGCAAGGTAAGAATTTATTTTTCAAAATCAATAATTAAGTTCCGAAAGATAAATGGCAACGAGTGGTCAGGTTTCGAAAGACACCCAATGAATCACGTTTATTTGTCTCGATCAAATATGGAGAATGGAAAGAGAGTAAGGGCGAAAGTCGACGAAACCACGTGAGATTATTTCTGTCGTTGTATAATTACGAGGCGGTGTTGAATTGCTCCGTCGATATTTCGACGCCAGGACGAGAAAAGGGTCCCAGTCGCCGGCCATTAAAATCAGTTTCGTGTTACCGGTAGACATTTTTTTCCCTTTCCTTTCTTCCTTCGTTTTTTGTTTCTTTCTTTCTTTCTTTTTTTCGTTTTTATTCGCGTCGAATAAATATCCAGCGTGGACAGGGCTGTATCATGGACAGGCTGGGAAACCAACACGTGGGTGAAGTATAAATAGGGGGTTGCGCGATGGAACGCGGGATGAAATTTTATACCAGCCGGGAAAATCGATTTCACGCCAACTGACGGTTATGTAAACCTCGAATCCGGGCTGCTTTAAATCCCAGCGGAAAATAAATACGCTGTTTTGGAGGATATTTGTAGCGGTAACGAACGGTAGATTTTAACGCTTCGCGTTCTGTTTGGTATGTTGCAGCGTGTCGCAGTTGACCGGTTATAATCCACCGGATTTGATCGAGAAGACGCTCTATCATTATGTGCACGGAGGGGAGATGTGGACGTTGAAACATGCCCATCAATTGTGTAAGTATAAACGAATAATTTTCGTTTACTTCAAATTGATAAAAAAGGGGTGGAAAAATATTCGAATCTAAAATGATAATTAAAAAGATCGCATCGAATTAATTTCTACACCTAAGATTTTAAAAAGAAGAACAAGTATTTCTTCTAAGAGCAAGATAGGCCTTATTTCCTGTGAGCCGAAAAGCGGTGTCGAAGGCGTCGACGTGGTATCAGAGGTGCTCGAAGAAGAGGCTCTCTTGCAAGGCCAAAAGCAGCTGACGCTGCTTAACTCGGCGACGCCCTCGCTGGCGAAATATCCTTTGATCTTTCCTTTCTCTCCATCCACCAACTTTCCTGAAGAACCACCACCACCACCAACTATAACGGCATTTCCCTTTTTTCCTCTCTCCGTGAATTTTTTTTTTTTTTTTTTTCCCCACCCCTTCTTCGCGCGTCGCCACGTTAAAGTCTAAGTATATGCACACGTAGGTACATACAGGGTGTACATTATTGATTGAACAATGGCGCTATGAGCCGAGGAAAAGAGAAGCTGTGGCGCGTATACGTTCTCTGTCCGCGTGTAGACGTTGGTGTGAGGGTGAAACGAAAGGAGGGAGAGAGAGAAAGAGGGTGGTAGAAGAGGAGGAGGCTGTTACTGCTATCACTGTTTGAACAGACTCGCAGTTTCACCAGCGCGACTCGAAGGGAGCCTGACATAATGCCACTAATGTCTGCGCCTGCGGATTGCGCGATCGACGTGATGCTGAAAAAATCTTTGAGAAAAGAATAAGCCTTTTTCAAATCTCTAGACAAATCATTTTAGATGTCACAAACCATATTCTGAAGGAATAATTACTATAATTTATTAAAAAATCATCACTTTTCTGTTCGCAGTATTGCGCAAGGGCCAAGTGATAACCGGCTACTACAGGTTCTTAACAAAATGCGGAGGATGGGTCTGGATGCAATCGTACGTCACGATCGTCCACAACTCGAGAAGTTCTAGACCTCATTGTATAGTATCAGTGAATTATGTGCTATCGAAACCGGAGTACACCGATTTGGTGTTGAACTACGAACAAAAATCCTATCGTTCGAACCTGAGCGATCCACCAAGCGCCCCTATGCTCACGCCCACCACCAGCGGAAGCACAAACGATCTAGACAACCGCAGCCCCAGTTCACCGGCCTTTCGGAACAGATCAAAAGAATCGCTGGACAACGATTATGCGAACGGCAACGCGTACCCCAGTCCAGAGTACGTTGATCTGACTAATCACAGTCATTATCTGTCGCCTCCTTATCAGGCGCCGACCGTGAACAGCAGCCCTCACGAGGACAACTCCAATTACAATTCTGATTGGTTTTATCAATACGGAGGTAAGGATGTTCTACAAGCAACACGTATTAACCAGATACCCTGGATAAATTATTAGGGTATCGTTACAATCGTTCAAGAACCGTGTCGTTCCAGGGCAACTGGTTCATACGTTTTGCCACGACCCCAAAAACTTCAAAAGAAACTCAGAAGTTTCAGAGGTTTCAGATTAAAAGAAGACAACGTTTATTCCAGATATGCATCAAGAGCCGCTCACCTCGGTGCCTCAGCAGGAGTCCCAGCATCCTCATCCGTTGCACCATGCCAACTCGCCGTCGAACCTGCAACAACATAGTCCTCAAAATGCTCAACAAAAGCACCAACATTCTCCTCACCTATTGGACCATCCAACGCCTCCGGCGAGTCTCCCCCAGCCTCAACCGCAGCCGCAGCAACAGCAACAGCACAGTCCCCAAAGTAGTCAACAAAATAGACCATACTCGACTTCCTCCAGTTCCTGCTGCAGCACAGACGCCATGGACGCCCATCTACCCAGTCCGTTGAGCCTCTACTCTCTGCCACCTGGTTATCATCCTTACTACCATCACTACATGCCCGATTCTGCGCCCCCGAATCTGAACGAGGTCGGTGGTGTGATCATGTACCCTAATTGTGGGTCGAACAACGATGGTCCCAATGCTGCAGCGAACACAAACGCCACTGGTAACGCGCAATCCTACGAATCCACCTATCAGCCACACTCGAGTCACTATAATTCAAACAACAATCCTGTGAAACATTCTTACCATCATCTAGAACCTACGGCAGCAGGTTACACCAGTGTGATCGTGGACTCCCAACAGTACAGCCCCAGCTCGGTACAGGACCTGATCCACTATCAGCATCATTACGAAGCACATCACCAGTTCGTTCACTGACACCAACTAGATGTGCCCTGCGTATAGCACGTCGATGGTGATTGCGACCGTGAATCGTGCTATTGTGACCCGTCTAGTGATCACGATCGCCGCCCTGCGGATAGTGATTGTGAATTGAGAGACTCGAATGATCAGGGTACGGACATTGAGCTGGTACCGATTATACGCTCGACGAGGAGGATGGTGCACACGGATAGAGTCACTAGGTGAGTGCCAACGATCCGGATTTCTGTGACGTTCATGAAAATCTTCTTCTATCTTGGAGAAGACGTTGAAACGATTATAGTCGGTTGAAGATTGGCTATCGAAGGGCTGTTGAAAGTAGACCATTGTAAGATTAGGTTCGTTTTATCTTACTGGAACTATAACAACATCAAAAGTGAGCTTTGTTTAAGGAGCGTACAATCATTGTTAAATCGATCGTTCACACGATCAGAAACTTTGTGTACAAATTTTCATACAGAAATTGATTACAGTGCCGTGGGTGAACACGAGTGCAGAGTAACGATTTAATTAAGATAGAGGGCAGCGATCGTTAAATACTGCCAAACGTACGCAGTTCTGCGATAATAGATGTACTTAACAAAATAGTAAACGTTTAAGAATTTACGTAAGGATCTAGAAGAATGGAAGATTTACCTTAGTATTCGATGATCACTGGATCTGTTGCTTCTATTTTATTCACATATCAAAATACTTCAATTTCAAAGGAGCTAGATACCCAGAATTTAAGCTTGAAGATCCACTTTTTTTGTAAAATATCTCTTAACATATCCTGCAACTTATATTTTATAATTAATCGTCGTTATTTATGTTGAAACTCGTTTAATTATTCGATCACTGAGCAAACAGTGAAGAAAATAATTTCAATGGTGTGTTCGATGCTCGTTAATTTAACAGATCCGTGGTAATTAATGAGAATCGCGAAATTGAGGGAAAGAATTTCTGCGTAATGCACGCTGGACGTGAGCAGCTTAAATTCGACGTACGATTTTATACGATTACATTAGCGAGTTCTGTAAGCGGTATGGTAATTATAGTCCGACGCTGGGTTATTGTAAATAAAAGGAACGCGAAACGGATTATTTTCATGGCGTCGATTGGTAGCGCGAGGTACGTAATTGTAGACTTGTAAATTATGTAGCTGTTATAGCTCCTAAGATCTCTTTCTCTCTATAATATATAAATATATTCGATATTTGTTAGGTAGACCCGAAGACTGACCGGTGCTTATACGAACCGACCAAAGAAACACCTAATGAGAAGAAGAAAAAAAAGTGTCACTGCTATTGTATCTTTATTCGCGTTTATTTTAACCCTTTGATTCAAACCATCAAAGTATTTTATTAGATTGGCAATGCAATTTGCAACCTCCTCCCCCCTTTTCTTACAGGATTATTTATTAAAATTCTTCGGAAGCTAATCAATGTATAAAACGCGTGTACACATTTTGCCATACGAATACTATTATTTATATACATATATCGATGTAAATTGATCGAGATAGTGGATAGGTGACGGAGATCATTGTACGATACTACGAGCGTAATCTGTAAGCGGTTGTAAATATTGTAAAAGTATAGCAAGCGCGCGCTGCATACCTACTATCGCGAGAAAATATAATCATATTTTCCTCTGACCATTGATCTTATTGGAGTTCGTTCTAATCCTCTTTCATCGAGGCGATCGAAAAGTCGCAAACAGGGCTTTGTTCTCTCCTAAAGACCACCGAAATTGTATTTGAACGAATACGATATTGAAATAAACCAGTTGAACCGAATCACTTTAGGCGAGATTATTATCGTAACTTCAGGAGTCTTTGAACAATCTTTTCTTTTTAAATTAGAAATCGTTTTCAATAATATTTATATTCTTCATTTAAGTTCAAGAAGACCGATTCACGAAGATTTTGTTGCGGGTCTATTAAGGCACACGGTACCTCGAGTACCTGCGTGGACATTATTTGACCATTCTACCTCTTCACAGGTGACAAGGTTTTCCTTTCATTCTGGGCTTTCCCCATTACCCTCAATCTGTTTTCCAGCAGGTACCCGTGAAAAGGAGATAACGTTACCAGGAGTGCGGTACATTCCCCTCTCACTGAATTATGGAGATTAAGCTGAAACATATGGGCTTGTTGGAAATACTGACGAGATCCGTTAGGTGATTTACATACACCTTAAACCACTTCATCCATGAGGTAAAATATTTATAAACTATCCTACGAGAAAATAAAATATAGAAGTAGTAGTTTTACTTTTATATTAATTAAAAAAGAAGTTACCAAATTGAACAAATCGTTGGTTCGTCGACAAAGGCCTAAACGAGGATCGTCTGACAGGATTCGTTCTCGAAACCCCTCCGTTGAAAATAGAAGAAAACAACGATCCTGTTTTTCTCCACTGTTCCCTCGATTGTCACTAGGCCGGCACGAACAATAAATTAATTGTGCCTTGTACGATTCTTGGGTTAGCTTTCGGTGGTCGCGTGCTCGCCTGCATGGGGTCGTTTGTGAACAGAGCCACGTGCCTCTTTATAATCGCCGTCAGCGTCTCGCTCTGCCATTAGATCGACGTCTAAAAGGACAGGTTTCACAGGACGAGTCACTAATTTTCGACTAGAAAGCAAGATTGTTCTGGGATCGTGTGAAGATTCGAAAAATTCACTTTCAAAGTATCAGAAAGTATATTCATAGAATTTCATAGAACGCCATTTGTGCTCGGATAATTTTAATTTTATTTAATTTATAAATGATTGGGAAATACAAAAGTACAAAAGTATTAATGAAATAAAATGATGATTCTCAGAGCACGTCTCAATAATAATCCTTAATCCTTTCAAATTATTATTGTTCTAATTTGGTTGGATCTATGACAAACGTGGACAGTTCTATGAATATACATACATCACCTATTCGGTGACATCGGTGTAATGAGAATATAGTGGCTAAGGGTTGCTGGTGAGTTCGCCAGGGTTGTTATTATCGAGCGTGTGTGACTAGAACAGCGATCGCACCAGAGGAGGGCGAGCCGCGTGCGGCTCGTTAAATTCTTCGGCCAGCGAATTTGACCCAGCCACGATTCTGTGAAATTGTGCGATCATTCGTCCACGGATGCGTTCATCGCCGATGGCAAAACTACCCGCGATTAAATCGACGAACTCTGTCGAGAGGGAACCGATCGAGAAACTCCTTGTTAAGAGTCTTAATTTAACAAAATAAACCAAACGAAAGGTTGGTTTATTTAATCAAATAAAAGACACATCCGCGGTATAATTATGTTAGCTTAGATCTCAGTACAAATAGATTCTCGGTGGATTATGTTCTCAACAACACGTGCAATGCATCTTATTCAATTCTGCGGGAAAACGAAAGAATAACATTGCTATCTGAATGCTCGAAGAATAACATATGTCCCGTGGCAGAGCTTTACGGGGTGAAAACTAACCACCCGTAATCCAGCCCGATTAGGAACATAAACGCGGATTCACGGGGTGCGGTTAAGTTAAACACTCGACAAATTGCGTGTGCCAGAAGCACTTATGTAGGTATATCTAAATAGAGAGGGTGTGATATTCTCGATATTATAATAAATAGGGAAATCTGTATATGTTATTCAAGTATACCAGTATGCGCACTTAAGTGCAACGTAGATTTCTTTTAGCTAAGAACAACGGTATATGGGAGGAACCTTTACCGTTTACAGAAATCTGCAGATTCATTTCTTTAGGCTTCTTCTGACTAATAAGAGGAAGTATAAGGGTAGAGTCTCCTACTGTTTGCCTTCAGGGTTGGAGGAACCAGAAAGAGCTCAGATGATCCCAGGCTCTCGAATCTCGAATCTTCCATCTTCTTAAACAAAAAATCATAATTAATAATTTTAGAAAGTATAAGTTGCTCGCAGCTATAATACGAGGGGTGTAAATCCAGAGACAAGGCCAGATGTCGCCTTCGTACATGTACGTTCATACATACACAGGGCACACCTGTTCAAGATCGTACGTACACACACAGGGGTAGGCTTGCGCGCAATCAAGGCGAAGGGGTGCTTTAGCAGAGTCGCCCCATGGTTACCAAGGGAACGGCACGTAACGCCGCCCACAACCCTCGGGCTGTCTTGTCCGATGTGTTTGCTCGATGATTTTATACCAATTATGGCCTATCCCCATGCTATTGCCTACTCCCCGTAGCATCGTCTGTATCCCTACCCCTATGTCCTCATCGCCACCCACTTCGACGTTGCGTATATCGGTCGGATGGTGCTCCACTTCTGTCCTAAAAGAGATCTGCAAGTACCTGGTGCAAGCACTTACGCAAAGATGCGGATCTTCTTGGTTGCATGTGCTAGCTACATCCTGGGGGTGATTTTCTATTAAAAAAATATAATTTAATGCACTTCAGATTCATAAGGCTTTCAATACCTTTAAAGTTTCTAGATGCAAAGCGTGAAGTCATAGGTTTATTAGTAATTAATCATTAGAAATCTTTGATAAAAGGTCAAGGACGATATTTTCAATATTTTCCAGCTGAAAAAATCCCTTGTCTTGGTAGGGCTAACTAAAGGAAGCGCCTATTGTCGCACCCTTTAAGCACCTATAGATTTTGTTAAACGAGTCTCTTCGTGGCTGAAGAATATATTGAAGAGTCTTGAGAAACTGAAACACCATGATGGCATTAAATTTCTGAGCTGCCACCGGATCGCGAGGGGATAATTACCGGGACACACACGTTGTTCGGGAGTTAGGTAGACATTAATGGAAATGCACGATAAGGGGATTACGAACGGTCGGAGGATAAATATAATGTACCGTTTTATTGATGATACGCAATCTCCAATTGTATCGCTTTTTGCATAAAATATCCTGTAATGTATCGTTTCCAATGTTCTGTATAATTAAAGGGATGTGTAATTTTTCTGGATTATTGTTGAAATGGATAATCAGAAGGATCTGTAACATGATAACATTTATTATAAATAATATACACGTTACAAACGAAACAAATGCTGTATACAGACCTTTGGAATAAAATCGATGTTGAGAGATGGAAAATAAATAATTAAAGAGACTAATGAATAGTTGACATTTATGTAATATTTCTTAGTAACTTTAATTAGTCTATATACTGTATATATAGAGAACCATTTAATTCTTATCAACTATGAACACATATCATTCTATTTCCCTGAGTGACTAATGTATATGGCGTCATCTGCTAGCAACTGAGTGTACCACTATCAATATAATTTCTCTGAGAGTCATTATCATTCGTAGAAAAAACAAATTAAGTACAGATTTATTTTCATTAATCACCGTTTTATGAAATATCTTTTTGCTGTTCAGCTGAAAACTAATTCTTTTAAAGAAACCATATGTATAAATATCATTTATATTAAATGTGGTTTCAATTCACTATAAAGTAGACCTAATGAATTACACTAAATTAATGAATCTCTTAACTTACTGATATGATCTGTATGTTACAAACACAATTAATTATTAAAATTTCGATCGTGCTTCGTGATAAGTCCCATAATGATAGTCTTTCTTCGTTCCAAAATCATCGTTAAAATTTTCGGAACCGCTGTACATCGAGAATCCACGACGGGACAACAATTCCCCTGGCACAATCGTCGGATTTGTGTAACAAAAGTCCGCCATCATACTCGTTTGTCTATTCAGTTGATTGGACCTGAACAATTTCATCGACTTAGTAAAACAGTTTTTGCTAAAAGAACAGAAAGCATTAATATAGAAGCAATTCTAGAAATGTAATCAAGAAATTCCGTCACGAAATTCACCTTTCAATCCTTCGCAATCGAAATCATTTCCTAAGGCAATTATTTCTTGCAATGGTTTACAAATGTTCAAAAGAGTTCAAAGAAATGTTATCGTGACCCAATTTTGAATGGCAAAGGATTAAAAGGTGTCAGAATTGAAAAAATAATTATAAAGAAAGATAATGGTCGCGTGCAAGCCTCTTAATTTCTCTGTACCCGTCTCGCATTCTTTTTAACCGAGATAAGCTAAACAATCGCGTTGCGCGCGGCAAAGATACGATATCAATGCGGTGAGTCATAAATTAATAGAAATACTATTTTTTCATTTTCTTCATTCGCGAATTGTCCGCAAAAATCATCGCAATTTTACTCTTTAGAATGTAAATCTTACGTGACTTATTCGGATTCCTAGCTCGTCGAAAACGTGGCTCGTCCCAACAAAACGAAACGTCAGCTATGCCACTAATGCCCATGATTTTAATCAAACATGTTCGGTTAAATGCATTTTTTCCACGAAATATCATTCAACAAGCCAACATTTGTGCTGTGAGTTCTTATCATTTTCTTTTCAAGCGAAGCCAAACGGTGTTAACAATTAGAACACAATGCAATTTGCAAAGCAAGGATTAGGAATGGTAATTTGCATGCAAATGGCTTCACATTTCAAAGAAAACTTACTTACCCGTCTGTACTTAATCGATTCACTTTGACAAATAGTACGAACACTAAAATGAAGAGCAACAGGAGAGCACCCGCGGTTACACCGCCTGCTATCGCAAAATACAGTAACAACTCGTTGGCATCCTGCAAAAAAAAGAGAATCATACAATTAGAGTTAAATTTGAAACAATAAATAATTTATATTACTTAACTAGAATTTATTAAAGTCTCCACACTAAAATTCATTGTTTCCACCCAAGACAATTAAATCATAAATATTAATTGTATCGCCATATTCAGAGTGCACGTACTATTTGTATCATTCTAAACATGTTCACAGCACATAGAGGATTAATTATTAATCATTGATGCACTTAACGAGATATGGTTGTTTACCTCCGAAAATTTATCTCTCATAATAGTCATCAATTAGATGAATCATAAATTTAATTAATTTCCCACAAACGAGAAAACCTTCTCACTTGCTTTGGATTTTAACTATCTAACTACCTAAAATGTGCCGATCACCAGTGACCGCCGCATTGATAAATAATTGGAAACGAAAAAAGAAATAAGCACACAAGAATGTTAAACAATCTTTAATACGCACTGTTGCTTTGCACTTCCTCGAACCGGCATTTCGCAACCCGAGTTTAACGCGTCGGATGTCAACACATTATGAAAGTCAATAAATAGCACTAAACGGAAAACAGGAAGTACACTTTTAATATATCATTGCGAATGAAATAATGGAAGGATAAATGTCTATCTAATTATTTCCAATCCCCCGTGAATCTTCTATGCATGTTTCGATCGCATAGCGATTCTTCTTGCGCCAATTCAACCTTGAAGTCACATAGTTGCATCTCTAATAAGCGACCACCATTCGAGCAAGTCGTAATTAGCGTTACAAAACAAGCTTTATTCCAACTCTATGATTAACCTCGATCCTCGTGAAAGCACCGACACAAGTGCAACGATCGAAACCGTACGAATTGATTAATTATTCGGAAACAAGGAGTCATGCGAGTCTGAAAGTTACCGTTGTGTTACGTATCGGTAAACGGGCACTTGGCATAACAACGACCTTGGCGTATTATGCTCCAGAAAAACTGTCTATTTACCGATACGATTCGTAAGATTTAGAAAAAATAATTACAACGTGGTCTTACCATTGTAAATATACAGAGAAGTTAAAAGCGACACGAGACCTCCCCGAAGACAATACTCGACTGGCGTACACAATCAAGATATCGGTATCAGCGTGTTATCGTAGCCGTCGTGATATCTGTGAAAATCTGGTGGCATTGTAAAGCTCCTGTACTATAAAATCGTGAAGAATTTTGTTCCAGCACGAAATTGAAAAAAAAAGTAACACTTCAATTAGTCTTTAACTACACTGGTCATTCGTTAGGCGCGAAGAAATAATTTAAACTAATTATTAAATAAACTTCTCGGGTGAAAATTAAACGATAACATGATGAAAACACGAAAGATTCAACAAGATAATTATATAGCAATTTCCGCTTGCAAGATTAACAGTTTCCTAAGTCTATGGGCTTTTTAGAAGCTCGCATGGTTTTTGAACGAGATAGATAAATGAACACTAATGGTAACACTCAGACGAGAGTAAAGTGTGTAACAGTGCCAGCAAAGCAATACTGAATGCTGATAAACCCCTCCAGCCTGTACAAGGTGTAGACGAGTACACGTGTGTGTGAGCGACTGACTTCTTGTAAGGGTACCGCGTCCTCCGCGCTTGCCAATCGGGATCTTTAACGAGTACGTGGGTATCATTCGATGTTTCCACTAGAATCTAATACCATTTTCCACTCCAGACACCAGGCAAACATCGACTTGCGCGAATGATGATCGTCTATTAAATACAGCTGTCTTTGGAAACAACTATGTAAACAATATGGACGCAATAAATATTTTTTAGTTACGCAAGCTCTCCGCCTGTTCGAGCATGTTTTTTATTGAGAAACTTGTCCCTTTGACTTTATTAAACAACCGTTTTCCTGTATTATAGAAAAATAAATATTGATTCACATTACAAAACATATACATAGTATATTATTTAAAATATCACAGTATATGTACAATATTGTATATACACAATTGGAAAATATTTTTATACTATTTACACTATATCAATTAGTGTCATATTACTATAAGTTTTAGATTCATGTAAAGAAAAGATCATGAGCCATTGTAGCACATGAGGAAGCATCATGCTCATACTTAAATACAGATAATATGGAATGGGTTGTGTAGAGCCAATAGGACAGAACCATAAACCCCTTCTTGTGCCATCTCGTATGTGATGACTCAAAAAACTTGCTAATATTATCCATGAATAATAGCCAAACCTTGGATGATTAAGAAAATTTGAGTAAAAATTGAACATAAGCCACAGTGTTATAGGAACAGTGGTACAATGCAGAAACGGGCGTTTTTCTAAATGCGTAGCATCCTGTAAAATGAAAAGAGAAACATTAATAAAATGCTACATTGTCAAAACAAAAGGTTATGATACTACTTACATTTATCTTCCAACTACATGCCGCGATAAAGTGATCTACATCGATAAAAGACGACAGACAAAAGCAGCAGAAAATACTCGACAAATTTTGAATAAGAGGCTTGTTTGACAAATTTAAAATCACAGCCCAAGTAAGACCACCGACAATCGCGTGAGTGACATTGTCAAAAATCGCGCGTGCCACAACGGTCTTCCCATGTTTCAAACCTTCGTCCCCAATGTACGAACAAATGCCAATAGCACCAGTCAATGCTAAACGTAAAAAAATGTCTCTCTTTAATAGAAACATTACAATAAACTATTTAAAAAACGTCAAAAATTAATGTTCATTGTACCTATATACAGTAAAAATATATATTACAAATTCTACCTCGCCATTTTGGAATGTTGATGTCTCGACATACTATATTCCTGCGTTCTTCAGCTATAGTCTATTTCAGCTAAATTTCCATCTGCAAAATTAATGTATTTTTAAATTCTATACTTATTAATAATATTTTAACTGCGTTTATAATTCTCTATTACATTTCATATCATAGTTTATCCGTTGATTAATTAAATTTTGTTGCGATACATGAAGTTACCGAATAACATTAGCTGTAGGGCGAGGCGGGATACTTTTTGGACATCGTCGATGTCAATCGAAATAAACTATTATCACATTCGTAGTTTACTATTGAATACTATACAAATTTCGTAAATTGAGTCCCGGTGAAGCAAGGTGAAAGAAAGGGAACAAGTTCATTGTTTGTTACACGCGACGTACACTATTCATAATGGTAAATAATCTTCTTTCTCAGGTAAAATTTATTTCGAATATGCATTGTTTTGAAAATCACGTATGTTATGTGGCTTTTGTTCTAATCGAGCGGTGTTATTGCCATTCTCTCGTGTGATTTTACAGACTCATGTTATCGGAATTTCACGGAATTATTTAATAAAGTAATATTATTAAAGAATTGTTATAAAGTAATTGCATAATTCGGCGATATGTCAAATTTTAAGGTAATATATTTATACGTTTTGTGATTTTGTTCAACATGATTTTCAGCAATGCTGTTTTAATAATTATGAATTTACGTAATTACAAATTTCTAATGATTTTATATTGCAAAATTTTTTTTAATTTGCTAAGTGTATTAATATTTCCAATATACAAATGTTTTATAATTACCATATGTTCAGAAATTTTTTTTGTAATTTCTGCAATATTTGTTTGTTTAGCCACCTGATTCTAAAAGAGAAGAATTTCGGAAATACCTTGAAAGGGCAGGGGTTATGGATGCTCTTACAAAGGTACTTGTGTCTTTGTATGAAGAACCAGAAAAGCCGGAAGATGCATTAGAGTATCCTTTAAACAAAGTTTAATTAATGGATTAATATATGATTTCAGTAGTAATTCTTGTCTTTCCTTAATTAAGATATAGATATATCCGACAAAATCTGGGAGGAATTACAGATGTTGATGTTGAAGTAGAAATGTTAAAAAAAGAATTGGAAGAAGCTAAAGCTAAGATTATCGAGCTAAAGGCAAAATTGGTGAAATATGAACCGGATGAAGGTGCAGAATAATTTAAATAACAAAATTTTAGACTATACTTCAATACTAGTCTTTGCTGGATACTGATTTTCTCAGAAAATCAGACCACCTATGTGCCTTACAATAGATATAGCAAATCACTTTTTAAAAGGATTTAGAATATAAGATAAATTAAGTTTAATTTTGCAAATTCCATTAATTATAAGTCTATTCCATAATCATTTCTCAATCATGTTTACAAAACTATAGATGATACTTTCCATTTAGCAAAATTAAATGCAGTTACTAACATAGAGTATAATTTGTAATGAAACTACAAAAGCAGGATATAATAAATTAGAAAGTAAAGCTCAAATCAAGTTTTGTTTGATGTGATATTTCTATAACAAATGTATTATTTTTTTTATACAAATAGTGTATATCTTTTTTATTTTGCAAAAATTATCAAACTTAAATCAATTAATGTAAGTGATTACTAATATAATAAATGTGATAAGAAATCCTATTGTAGGTACATAAGACATCATATTAAGTTAGAATTCAGATGTATTTGTGGCAATATACATAAATATTGGTGTATCTAGCTTATAACCTAAATGTATTTGAGTCCTTTATTTCACTGATAGTTTCAGATGACAGATTTTTCGTTCACAAGCTCTTTTTTTTGACAGTGTAACCTAAAAAAATGATAAAATTATACAATCAGTATTAAAGTACATGGAATTCATATAACATTTATTTCACATGTGTATAATTACCCTTTAGGTTTTAGGCAATCATTGCATGCAAATTGAATTTATTAAAAAGAAACAGTTTTCATGTTGGTTTAGCAGCTTGCCTGCGTTTTACTTCCCAATTATAAATGCGTGCCATGTTTACTTCAGTTGTTGTAAATTGATCTCTGACAAAGTCCAAGTCGTGTTCCACGTAGCTTAAATTTCTCTTTGCAGCTTCAATATTTTTTGTTAACATCTCTTGTGCATCGTCCAGTGTATATTCTAACATAACATTTGCTCCCAGCCATAAACATACTTTATCAGTTGGTGGAATAACAGCCTTTGCATAAACTTGTTCCGATAAAAGAAACTGAGTTTCTAATTCCTTGCTGTTGTCTTTTTCTTCCTGTAATTTTTTTATCATATCCAATGATCTTTCTAAATCTGGAATCTGTGCCTTCAGTCTTTTCCTCTTATTCATCAAATTATATTCAATAAACTTATATTTGCCATGATGATCATCCAGCATTCGTAGTACTTTGTCCACTGAGTCATTTTCGGGTTTTGCCATAAATGCGTCGACATCGTCCTATATAAAAAGGTTTGTATGAAACGTATTTGTTTCATACTAAATTAAAATATTACAATGTCCATTCCTTTTGTGACCATATAAGGTCTGTACTACGAGGAAAAAATTCGGATACATTCTTATAGGTTAAAGTACTAAAATAAATAGAATTAAAAAGATTCTTTACAGAAACTATAAATACAAACGGAAAAGATTCACGATTCTTTATTTTTAACAGAAGTTTTTATCTACAGCCATGAGTACTACTTTTTCGAAAAAATATTCATGGTAACCAAATATGATTTAAACATACACTATTCTTGTATTGATAACAATTTTATAATAATATATTATACAACGATTATTTAATAATAATGCACTTACTACAAATTCGGCCTCCGGTATTCCGGCATACGACTTTTTCTCTTTATCCTGACCAGTCTCCGTTTTATTACCACCGTCTTCCATCTTGAATCACTATACAAATTCTCATAACACGCGATTGGTTTCAGGTGATGCGAGCGTTGAAAATTTTACCGACAGTCCCTAGATAAATCTCTAGAAACGAGAACACAAATTACGTCGTCATTACTAAACCGAATGCAAAAAAATTGGAGGGACGTGTTCAGGAGGCCCCAAAGAATGGCGCTCTGGTCCTTAAAATATTGACATTTATGTCTGTCAACGGTCAAGAAAATGCACCTGCATCAATTTATTCGCAATATAAACATTTCTGCGAATTGTATGTCCGAATGGATACCAGACTAACATTCTTTGGGTCAGATAGAACAAAACGAGCACCCAAGGGATGATGTACAAGCCTCCCAGGTAGAAGAAATTTGAGAATTACGATTTTCACTCGCGAAACACTTCGGAAAGGTAAAACAGACCACAAATTTAGTTCCTCATTTTTTTCTACAGGGCGCAGTTCATTCGTTTAGTATGCTCGACCGCGCAATCAATCGTAGCCCGAGTATGTGAAGCGGCCTCGACGTTTGCATCGCCTTAAATAGTATTAAAATATTATATTAAATTGGGTATTAGATATCAAAAATACAAAAAACAGAAGACAAAGTTGAAGAGAAGAACGGAGTCGTGATTTCTGACATCATTTCCACATTGTCTTCAGAAATGCGTAAGCTGAAAATTTATACTCTATTTTGTCGATACAGATACGAATTAAAATAACATATTTCTCATTTATTCTGCTTTTATGGTGATGATTTATTAAATACCATTAATATCTTATGTATTTTTCTATCTTTTTTCTTATATTTCGGTGCTTTAAAGTGAAAAAAGTAATCTCGATCATATTTCAATATGGCGTTGATAATTTTCAACGAATCTTTCCATGCTTTTAATGTTAAAGTTTCAAAGCAATTCGAAGTTTCTACCAATGCTTGTGATTGGTCATTCCATTATGGCGTTCTTCTATTTGGACCAATCAGATTCATCGTTAAAGGGTGCGTTGCGCGGAGTGAGGTGGAGTGCAACAGTCCTCTTCGAAGCTTCGTCTGTTTGGCACGTGTCTGCAACAGGTAAGATTAAATTATCTTCAAATATTAAATTAAATTGCCGATCGGGTGTTAAAAGTACAAAAAACAGAAAAAACCATCGAAGAGAAGTCTAGATTCTTGATCTTTAACATTAATTCGGCATTTTCTTCAAAAATACAAGAGTTGAAAATTTGTGCTCTTGCCGCGATTGTACAATGAGGTTGGAACAGCAGAATTTGAATTACTTTCCCTTTTATATCGTTAATTTCCTAACCAATATTGAACGTTTTTAATATTCTTTCACACAATTTACTGTTTGATATTTAATAACGTTTTTTCTTGAGCATCGTAATATTATGCGATCTGTTCGTCTACCGGCTTCGGTTCGGCTGGGGACGAACATTACCGAATAATACCGAAAGGTGCTGATCGGTCTTCGGCAGGAAAAAAGCTCTCGCCATTTCTTTCGCGAACGTCCAAGTGACAAGACGTGTTGAGAGCATCCTTCCGTATAAGTAGTAGGTGCCCATTCTACCTATTAAAATATTTTGCATAAATTATAGTTCGATCGTTTATTAGTAATAATTTTATTATTGTTGATTAAATTTTATTTACATAAATTCGTATTTCTTATTTGTTACAGATATTTGATGGATATTGAAAGGACGCCATGACATCTGATATGGGATTGAAATAGAATTTCGTAAAAATTTATTGTTTTAATTTATTTTAATCAATTATTAACATTTATTATTACTTGTTTTTTATTGAGTCGTTGTTAATTGTGGGCATATTTGATAATTACTTGCTACCAAAGTCAAGAAAGAAAAGATTAGAGACATTTTTTTTCTTTAACCAATTCATAGAAAAAGAATAATTAATTTTTCATTTTATTAAATAATTTCGTCCAGTATTTTAATACATTTGTTTTAACCTAGAACAAAATTGAAATAATTCATATTCTACTGCAAATGATTGCTTCCCTTCTGCAATTATTAATTATTTTAAACAATCTATTTTTGTTAAATCGTAATAATTATATTATAATATCCAGTTTTCGATGCAAGTTTAAATTAAAATAGAATTACGTTTTTAAATCACATGCTGTTTAAGCATGGTTAATTATTGGACTTTGCTTATTGAAAAGAATTAGATAATTTATAAATCATGCTGTAAGAATTTCCAACAATTTGTAGTATGCTCACAATCTTAACAACAAAAATCCTCTGCTTTAATATAATAGTCTATTATCTTTATTACAAAATGATTTTCTATCGATGTAATATTCATTGAAATAATTATCAACAATTATCCAAAACATTTCATTTCAATCTAGGATCAATATTCAGCTTCAACAATATTTGTGCTCGTCGAATATATTTCACGAACATAGATATTTTCATTTACAAGTCATTAATAACAGTATTTCCGTTACGAATGTTCAATAAAAAGAATGTTGTTTTGTATATTTCCACCCAGCCCATCCCTGTTTACTAAGTTTTTCTTTCAGGAATCGTTGTGGCCGCGCGCAATGCGGTCGGTAGAGTCAGTGTTTGTACGTACATATTTCCAATGTTTTGATTTTTTCAAGGGTGAACTGGCCCTGAATAGAGTTGCGCTTGTACATACAGTTAGGAATCACGCGAAAGTAGAGTCAGTGTTTGCTGCGTATAATAAAATATTTTCGAGAGCATCGCGGCTCTGATTTTTCTTTTTCCATCGTGAAAGTAGAGTCTTTACAATTGTTCGCCGAAAATTATTCACGGTCGCGTTACTATTTTTATTTTTAATTTTTTTTTAATTGCTCGATATATTCGGGATTAGAGTCAATGCACCACTGAAGAGGAGTTTTGGGCGTTGCTCCATAAGGAAAGAGTGTAAGTATCTTATTACTTTATTTAATTAATTTTAATTGAAATAGAATAATTTACAATTTCAATACTTGATAATTGAGAGTTCTTCTTAATTGCTATTGCTAATATTTTATAAAATTCAATTTCATATATAATTTTATTAGAATAAAAATTGATAATTTGCAAAATTAACCGTAATTCTTTTTTGTTTTGTTACAGATGAATTTTTTGAATGCCGAGTTCCTGGATATCCTGGTGATGGCTTTCTTCACGACTTCCGTCTTGGTACGTCACTTAATTGCTTTTTATTAAAATAGAATAATTTACAATTTCAACCCTTGATAATTGAGATTTCTTTTTAATTGCTAATATTTTATAAAATTCAATTTCATATATAATTTTATTAGAATAAAAATTTATAATTTTCAAAATTAACCGTAATTCTTCTTTTTTTGTTACAGATGAATTTCTTCACGACTTCAGTATTCTCCTACAAGGCAGCCTCCTACCTGAAGAAGAGTATATCTGCGAACGGTGAGTCGCATGTTTTATGGTTCCTCTGGTAGCCCAATCATGTCGTAGGACGAATGGTCCAAATCGACACGGGCTACTAGTTGTATACGTGCTTGGCAAGCATAGTGACCATGGGTATGATTATACATACCCATGAGTAGTAACATTTTTATTGTTTCATTTCATTTAGTTAGGCTAGGTCTTCTTGTACTCCGCGTTTTAATATCATTTCAATTCCACATATTCTAATAGATATTTTTGAAATATATGAATGCTCTTAAATGTTCTTAAATGTTCTTAAATGTGGAATTAGAATATTTGAATACCGAAACAATTTTATTTAGTTTGTCTGTAATAGAGAAGTCAAATACTATCTGACTTAGTTATTGCGATGGTTCAAAGCAATATAATATTGATAGTATTATGTAATATGTATACTGGATATACATATTAATAATGTTATTACATTGATTAAATTTCATTTTGTATATTATAAATTCAAATATAATTTGAGAATTTTCTAAAATTTCATTCATTCAATAGCGAAGTTTAACTTACTTAAACGTT